CAGCTACGTGGGTGGACTTCAAGTCAGATGCAAAACGGGTCGGGTCACAATTCGGATCCGGGTTGCAAAACCAATTGCATAGAGATGCGAGAGCAATCATCCGTGATTACGGATTAAAATGTAGGCCAAAAACATTTTGGGGGAGAAAACAGCTACGTGGGTGGACTTCAAGTCAGATGCAAAACGGGTCGGGTCACAATTCGGATCCGGGTTGCAAAACCAATTGCATAGAGATGCGAGAGCAATCATCCGTGATTACGGATTAAAATGTAGGCCAAAAAAAGTACTGTGAGGTTGACGATTACGTTGCGAGGAATTAGTTGTCAATTAGCGTCAAATCATGACATCCACATTTTCCTTCGCTTTTTCATCAGCGAATATTTCAATGTCATTATGAGCCCCCCTCCCTGTCCCTTTTGATGCTACTCACAGTATTTTTTTGCCCTTTTATATTTCCGTAATTTCATTTAAGTCAATAAAACAATTTTGAACAGCAAAGGCTGCAAAAAGAATGAGATAAACTGATAAAGAGCTGAACAGTGAATAAATTAGATGTAGGGTGGGACCCACATAAATGGCTGCTGAGGTGGGGTGACAAGGAGGAAGATTTTATTGGTGTTTTTGCATTATAATCCTGTATTACTGTTGATTATTATTTAACCACCACCGCCGTGTTGAGATTAGCTATTTAAAGCGTATGCCAGTGACTCTTTTAAGACAAGGAAAGAATGTGACACCTCATTCTCAAATAAAAAAGGGCATGATTTTGCGTCGGGGGCGTTTTAAGGGCCTATTTGTTTGCACGAAAGTAGCAAATAAGTAACTGAAGTAGATGAAGTTTCTTCTACTTCAAGTAAAAAATTATGTTTGTTTCTCCGAAAAGACTACTTCAGCTACTTCCATAAATACAGATGTGACGTCTATGTGGCACTCCTACTTCCTAAATTTTTTTCCTCCCTTAAAAGCTCAGAAGTAGAGGGGAAGTGGATAAAAAGTGAGGTCCACTTAAATTAGAGATTTACCAAGGGCAGATGATCTTAAATACTATATCTAATTTCTATACAAACAAACAAATAAATAAAAGAAGATAATGAAGTATTATTTCCGCTACTTCTAAAAATATATGAAACAAACAAAACAAGTACTACTTCCGCTACTTTCTACTTCATAATTAAGGAAGTTACGTCTTTGATCCACTTCTTACTTCTAATAGTTATGTCCATCCAAACAGACCCTAAGCGAAGTTACTGGTGCTTGTTATTGCGGAGAAATTATTTGGTGGTTTTAAAGATATAAATAAAAGAAGTTTTTGCATCTCTCTCTATATTCACCAATTAAGGTCAGTTCAGACATTTTAGTATATAATGAGAGTTCAGTTGAGATTCTCCAAAACTTGTGTCTAATGAGTAAATTGGTTTAAAACATTGCTACATAGCAACATAGCAACATAGCAATGAATAAAGGATCTTAAACATTTCTATAAGAATGGAGTAGTTCGCGCATGGATAGAATGATTAAAATTCCTAAACTAACCCCTAGCGCTCTTGAATGGTGTAGGTTATCTTGAGAGGATGTTCTGATAGAATTTGCACTACATAATAAATGAATTTTCGAAGAAAGTTGTTTGGTTTTCAGTTTCTTTTGAGTAAATTGGTCACGAGAACATCTCTGCAAATAGTCTCTGTCACCTAGAACTTAAAATTGGAACTGAGATAATATGTGAGATAAATTTTTAAGGTGTTAGTCAAATAGAACTAAAACTAAAACAAAATTTTATAGTGTTAGTCAAGTAGGACTCTAACAAAACTAGAATTGGGATAATGGTACAAAATTATTCTACTTTTTTATTTTTCTATACAAAAATGAGAGTTGTAATCGCTCAAATTATTCCAAGTTTTAGCTTAGAACTAGGAGGTAAAAAACTAGAACTCATATTTATTTTGTTTTTTTTATTTTTTATTTTTTATATTTTTTTTTCTTTACTTCTTTTCTATTATGGTTATCATCATTATTAGACTATCATTATAATAATAATTGTTAATATCTTATAGTCTAACCAAAAATTATTTAATAGTAAAGAACATTCTTGTAAGCAATTATCAATCAATAATAGTAAGTTTAAAATACATAAATAATATTTATATCTTCAAAATGCATAAATATATATTTTATGGTTATAAAAAATTATCACACGTTATTTTATCAAAATATCCTGCTTTACAAAATTGTTCCTATTTATCCCACTGAAATATCCTGCTAGCGAAAAATTATTCCACTTTACCAATTATCTCATTTTTTGCATGAAAATGTCCCAATTGACTAACACCCACTAAGATCAGAAAAAGCTAACTTATGGCAAATTGCTTCTAATAGAAGATCAAGAATCAATAATAACAATAACGATGCAATCTTTTCAAGGAGGTTAGTGTGAGAGGCAATACACTTTTGATAGGTGTATGGATATTCTCTCTCTTTTTTGCTTCTCTTGTTCCTTCCGAAGGAAACAAAAGAATCAAATACTTTAGTAGCATTGAATATTTCATCCAGTTTGCTTGCTTTCCAAATAACTAATAAGCTTTGGAATCACAAGGTACATAAACAAATATGCACATTGAGCACCCAAAAATTGGATCATTGATTCCAAACAGCACATTTTAGAAGCAAAAGCTCATAGAAAATGACACATTTATTCCATACTAATTGAAATTAAAAAAAAATATTTCAATCATCCTAATCCCAATTAAATGTGGTAGAGGCTTAGGTGTATGGGTTTGAATAAATTCAAGGGTAAGCTATGGACAAGACAAAATGGGACCATATTGTTTGTTCAAGCTAGGTTTGTGCGGCTACGGATAGAAATAGGGTTTGACTTGAATCTATCTTAAATAAGGCTCAACAATTTCTTCAACGTCACTCGATTTGGGTGCCTAGTCCAAAATCCTGATGAAATTGACTTATTTTGTTTTGAAAAAAAGAGGAGATATTTTTTTTGTGTCTTGAATACCAATCTTTTTTCTTATACCTGTTAAAGGTGCAATTGAGTAATCAGTAGGAATATTTGCATAAAAAACAGTTCATTTTACTCAATTTGGACGGCTTGGAGTCCATCGAACAATCATGTCTATTTTTGTGGGAAATTCAAATCTGAAAAAAGTCCTCCCATTCTATAGATAATCACAGAGAAAGAAGAACATGCATGATACATTATTCATTATCAATTATAAATTGATGTAATCTATAAATCAACAATCACTAATATTCTATCTATGCGATCCGAGCAATGTAGCAAAAAAAAAAAAGGCAAAACGTCCACATGAATTAAAAGACTAGATTTTCATGAGTTAATAATTCACCAAACAGCTGAGCTGACTAAGTTTTTGTTTTTTAATTTTTTTAACCGAGGATTTAAATATTTTTCAAGTATCTTATTCATTTTTATGCGTAAGTTTTCATTTGGCAATTAAGTAGTTTCAATATTAGTTTTCCTAATTAATTAACAAGTTAATCGTCAAACGAAGTAACTCAAAATTTTGGAATCTTTCAAATATTTAATAAAAATTGTACACCCCCGCTCGTTCATAGAGTACCATGTATACACAGTCCACATTGTAACTCCAAAGTACTAGCACTGCAGTAGGTGTAGCGTCACATGCAAATTATTCTGTAAGGTTTTATATGCTCTATTATCTAATACAAATTAATTTATTTCTGAGAGAGCGACACGATGTCATTAAGATGACACCCTAATATTCTTCTATTGACATTAGAAAGTCCATGGCCGAATTAATGTTGATGTTATTAGCGAAAACAAAACCAAATCAATTCCTTGGTCGCTTTCTAAAAATGATAAGAGGACAAGTCGAGAATTGGATCAATTCCGAAGGTAAGGCACTTTAGCATAAGAATATTTGTGTATAGATTAGGGTCTATATAGACCTATTAAGTGTGACAGAAGCAATTAATTCCCTTCACTTGGACTTATTAAGGGATTTTTTTTTTTTTTTTGCGGTTTACGAACTCAAGGAGTCAAGGATGTTTGACATTTTCGTGCTCTTTATAGTTTTCTTGCTACGTTAGCTTTTTTTTTTAAGCCAAAAAAGTCTTTCTTTGTCTGTTGGTTTGTGAGGAAAGCTATTCTGATCTGTGTTTTTCGTGTGCGAGTTGATGCAAGAAATTAGGGGATGGTCTTTGATGAGATAAATCCAATCGTTTTGAAAAATAACGGACAGCTTTGGTGCAATCCAGGATGAAGAAAATCATAAGAATCGTTTTTTTTTAATTTGCTTTAGCTCTTATTTCATGCTAGGAGAGAATCTCAACCATCTGTATTAATTAATAGATAGTTTTCTGATCGAGGGCAAAAAAAAAAAAACTAAGAAAGAATGAATAATGTATTTCACCGTCCACTATGAACAATGATGATACACCGTGACATGATAGACAAGAATGAACTATGATAGATCTAATCAGTCTCTCACTAAAAAAGAATAAAAAAAAAAAGTGATAGATTGAAATAGTAGGTAGACCAGTAAAGTGCCAAAAAGCAAGAGGGAGGTGGGGGAAGAAAGAAGAAGATAAAATCAAATTGATCAAAATAAAGAAAGCAAGTAGCGTCCATTATTTCCTAGTTTCTTCAGCTACCGTGTGTTGTTTAAGGAAAACTAGAGAAGGAGCAGCGGTGGAGTACGGAGGTAAATTAGGAAAACTAGGGCAGGGTAGTATGATGGTGGTTGAGTTATTGAGAAGTTCGATATCTGATGCAGGTTATGAGATTTTCTTACAGTGTAAAAATAAAATAAACTATGGATAAATATCTATATGAGAATACCACTACAAATTAAAATACTCATAAAGAGATGTTTGTTACTGCAGGTGGAAGTTCTCCAACAACAGGATGCATTAATCCAATTACTATCAATGATCATGGTTCCTCTTAAATAGCGTTTAAAAAAAAAAACACAACACCAACAACAAATGGCACGATTTGTGACAAATGCTCTTTAGCTTTAGAGGTGCGTCATGGGTTATATAGCCTCAAATCTAACAAGAATACAGGACACGAGACAAAACTTTTTAAAGGTGATTCTACATAAATAAGAATCAAGTAAAAAACCAAATCGAACGCTGATCCAAGTCTCTTTTATTGAGATTCTAATCTAAAGACACAATTAGTTCATCAATATGTGAACTCAGAGAATAAGAGCACTCCATCTCGTGAAACAAGCATTGAACAACCTTCTTCCATGTTCCCATCCTTGGAACAAACCCCTGCATCACCATCTGCTTCAAAACCATATCAACATCTTCTAGAAGCTTCTCACTACAAAAACCCTCAATAGCCAATTTATACGACAAAAAACTCGGGCAAAAGCCTTCAGAGACCATCACAAACATAATATCTTTAGCCTCTGCAAACATTTTCGATTCAACCAAACCATAAACAAGCGCTTGATAGCTCCCAGAGTTCGGATAACATCCCTTAAGCTTCATTCCCTTTAAGAGCTCGATCCCCTCTCTAACCCTCCTTTGCTTGCAAAGACCCGAAATCAAAACATTAAACATTACTGTGTCAGGATAACATTTCTCTCTTTCCATTCTGTCGCATAACTCAAATGCTTCATCAACTCTCCCATGTTTACATAATGAATGCATCAACGTCGAATAAGTAGTAACATTCGGTCGACGCTTGTGCTTTGAAATCTCATCGAGCAACAAAAATGCAGCATCGAGCTTATTCCAATTGCACAAACCCTTGATGAGAATGTTAAAGCAGCAGGTATCTAAAGCAATACCCAACTTAGGAGCGCTCAAGAAAACCTCATGTACAGTATCAAACTGTTTATTATTCACAAGCATATTAAGAACACAATTGAAGGTTTTAATTGTCGGCCAACAATGGAACTCTGGCATTCTTTGAAGTGTTCTGATGGCTTGTTCTAGATTGGCCGCTACATGCCCGTAAATTTTGATTACCTGATGGAAGAAATCATCAGAAAGCCTGCATTTCTCTTGCTTTGCCTTTTCTAGTAGAGGCTCGATGGCGTCGAATTTTTTTGCACGGGCAAGTTTGTCGATGAGTAAACTGTATAGAGCCTCGCTGGGTTTGTAATCAATACGAGCTGAGGCTTTATCGAATGCACCTATGATAAGTTGAGGGTCTCTCAAATGCATGAAAATTTTGAGGACTTCATTGGGTGCAAGCCAGTCTTTATGGTCTAATCTTCGCAACCAAAAGCCATCATTTTCCCTTGTGCTATTGAATCTAGATAGAGTAGATGCTGAGCATTTTGATATGTGAATTGTTCTCAAAATGACACGATTGAGATCGGAAAAAGAGCCGAAGACGAGTTTTTTGTAAGCAGCCATAGGGGTTCCTGTTTCATTGGCAATTCGACAAACACTTGCAATGCGAGATGTGCAAGCTTGTGCAGAATCACATGATATCAGCAGCCCAATTTTCAATTTGCTTTCTTGCCGCAGATCAAATTTTTTTTTTTAAAACAAATCAGTATCTAGTAAATAAAGTTTTTTTTTTCTTCCTTCTTTAAAACAACAGAAGATGAATACTTGGAGAGGATCTAAATACAATTACGACAAATTTAGCCATATTTAAAGTGCTACGTATTTATTTTGGGGGAAAAGATGCATGGAGGTTCAATAGGAGATACCTTGAGAGGTGAGGTGGCGCCAAGTCCTTTTTCGGAATTGCTGGAGTGGAGTAATGCTACTGTTTTGAGTTTGGTTGCTTGCCAAAATTTCGACCAAAATAGCTCACCGAAGTAACAGGCTAACAGCTCATTAGCAAAGATTATGCCTTCACCAAAAAAAAAATTCCTTGATATAGAAATGCAGAAAATGAGCAACGTGGAATCGTAAATAGAATACAACTATTTAATGCAGATAGCGTCGAAGAATGAAATCAAATTCTCCCCGAGAGAAAACAATGCTCCTTTTTCTTTTTCTTTTTTACACATGACCCACTCTAGAAAAGAATCACAGAGTCATATTGAAACCTCACAACCGTCCGGATTGATCTTTGAATAGCTCGCGATAAGTGGTATCTAGACGCCAGAACTTTTGGTTTGTTTCCAAAACTAAACTTGGGACCTTTCTTATAGTAACTCAAAATATTGTCGTTGTTGTTGTTAATTTCATTTTTCGGGTTTGTTAACTTTAGAATGCAGATACCAGACTCCTAGAGAATAGTTATAACAAAATCTCATAGACCTCTCCCGTTGTCTCGTCTATGGATAAAAAAGATTTCCCATTATATCGTAGCAAACTTTACTGCGAAATTACGAGCTCCATTGCCTTCTTTGTATTCGTGTGAAACTTTTAGCCGATAGAACATAATTCAGCCTAGCACACACGTCTTCGACCAAAAGACGTTACAGTGTTAAAATCGATACATCCTGTGATTGCCTGAATAACAAGCAACACAAACTGGTGACTGCAAAAATGTAGACGAGCGCTAACCTAGGCAGTGGTGTTCGAAGCCATAAAAACGACGAGATATATCAGCAATAAGTGAACCTTTAAACTATAGAATGCTGCGCATCATCAGGTTCGTTGAGCTCGGGGACCATAATTCATGAAGACTATACAAACAAATTTTCGACGATACGTGAAACAAAGCTCACTTTGCAGGCAGGTACTCAAGGAATCTAGCATATATTGCATACTAGCAAAAACAGAATCATAAAAATACTAGAACTTTCACTTTCAAATTTGCACAAACACCATAGCTAATCAAACATAAACAAACAATCAAAATGCCACAAAAGTATCAAGCCATACAGGAGTAAGTCAAGAACTCCAACGACTAGAAATGGGGCGATGCAACAGACTTGAATCAATCCTCCTCTAAATTGATGGAGTCCTTAAACTTCCCATAAAGGATCTTCTTCAGCTCCGCCATTTGAGCAACCAATGATTCCTTCTCTTCCTCCAGTTTCTCAAGATCCTTGCTAGCTTCCTCTTTCATCTTTTCTAACCGCTCCTCAACATCTTCCCTTGGCATGTGAGTGAAGACTTCACCTATTTGGAATCTGACCACATCCTCGTCAGAGAGGATAAGCTCGTTCCCCGCATCCTCCAAGCTTTCATTTAATTCCTGCAGCAGCACAAGGGCAATTAAGGATCAAGAATGAGTTTATAATGTAATTTTCATGTTTTTGGATAATGTAAAAGAATAGCATTGTCTGTGGTGCAAAATTCATGGTTGTGACTTTTTTCTTTTCTTTTTTCTTTTTTCTTTTTTTTTTGCATCTGAAGTTATGGCTGTTTAAGAACTGACATTTGATATGATAATAAGGAACATTATACTAAGTTTGAAGTTTAAAATATAATAATTATAGTCCATCGCCCACTTCTTCCGTAACTTTCTAGCACATGCATTAAATTCAGGCAATTTAATCATTGAAAGATGGGGCTTCGAAGAAGAGTGGTTCGATTTAATTAGATTTGGTCATTATCAGTTCATCTAATAATAAATGGTAAATCCTTCAAACACGCATCCAGACTGTTGATAATCATGTCAGCTTGACTCAACCTGATGCAAAACCTATACATAGAAGGGGCAGGGCTTGTAAATATTGGTGTGATTTAATCTTCAAAGGAACAATGAAGGAAGGGTAAGAACTCTAAGAGTGTAAACCACCAACCATGATGACACTTTGTTATAATTCTTGTCTTAATAAAGTTAAACCATGCCAGGCAGCTTTTTGCGTATGAAGAAAACAAAGAAAAAGGAAATTCGACAAGATTCAATACTAATTTAAGAATCCTTATGTAAAAGACCTAAAATTTAGTTGAAAGGATGATGAGGGAGCTAAACCTATCTTTTTGACATCAATTTTACTCTAACTAGCCTCATTTTTGAGCGAGATACATCAACAGAATTAATCAATAAGAAAGTTCGAGCATAAAGCGGCAAACATGCCTCCACCAGTCGATTGGAATCTCAAGTGTTTCAGTAAAAAAAGTTTTTTAGTTCAATAACTTTATTCATTAAAACACAATGTTTGTGATGACTAGTCGGTAGTCCTGCAGTGACTTGAATTAACCTGAGTCTGTTGGCAAACTATAAGACTTGTTTGATGTAACTTAAAGGTTTTAGGGTACTTATTTCGAGCTATCAACATTCAGGGACCTATGTCAAACTACCAATGATTTGCAGGGCCAAAATCCTGAAAACCCAATTTATAAATCTCTAACATGGATTAACACCTCCAGGGGTTGCTAACTAGCGCATTCTGGTTGACATATCTATATTTCTTACATGTTATGACTCTTGGTTGAAACCTGCGGATCCAAGCTAAAAACTGATGCACTAGGACTCTTCATAGAAACGCACTAAATAATAAGTAAATGGTACAGTACCTAATCCTGCAGATAGTCCCATTTCCTATCTAGACAGGAAAAACTTACTGTTTGCTTCAGAATAACGAACACAGACAGGAATTTACCTTGAAGGAGAACATAAAAGCTTTCCAAAGAATTCTGTAATGCCTTCTTATGTTTTTACTGATTTTTTTTCTTGTTATATATGAGTGGTTAGAAAGTTCATATATGAGTGGATAGAAAGTTTGTACATAATGAAGAATAAAAGACAATGTCAAGAGACAAAAGAAAAAAGAAGGAATTGAATAAGAATTGCTAGGTTTGTGCATGATAAAGAGCAAAAGACAAGATAAGAATCCATAAATATATTAGGATATACTTGGATCAAATAAATTATATTATTACTCATAATTGATATGGATAAGAGACAAAATGTGTTGACAATCTTAAACTATAAAACAGATTGTATTGACCCTTTAACATAATTTTTTAATGCAAGCAACCCCCAAGATTAATTTTGAAAATCTCTTGGTTTTGTGGAAGAGTTTGGATGTAAAGAAAAATGTTAAATTATCTAATCCGATTAAAGTATGATCATATAAGTTAACCCCATACGTGAAATTTATTTTAACCAAAACTCATATATAAGTATTATAATTGGCATTGAGATCAAAAATACGTGTGAGATTCTCTTTGACTTTAATACAAACAATATCTATTTATATATTAATAGTATAATTGCACTTTGTGATTTGAAAAGAAATCAAACATACAATATAATTAATTACTTTAAAATAATCTAATCTAATTTAATAGGAAGAAAATAGATGACAGTACTGTGAAAAAAGTTGTAATTTTATAATTCATAAGTCTTAAACAAATAATCTATTCTAATAAGAAGAAAATAACAAAGATACATACTTGTTGAATGAGATAAAAGTACGATGAAAATTATTGTAATTTCTTGATCTAAAAAACATCAAATATACAATATAATTAATTGTTTTAAAATAATCTAATCTAATCTAATAACAAAGGCACACACATGTAGAAGGAGATAAAAATGGTATAAAAATTATTATAATTTCTTGGTGGCTTATATATATTGGTATATGGTGTTGCATGTAAGAGGATAACAATAATAAATAGAGTTCTATTTAAATAATAATAGTATGATTAAATTTTGAAACTAATTGTGCAGTACTTTGAACTACTTCAATTTTAGTCGCTGAGAGATCGTCATTTTGTGTGTAATTATTAATCATATAGCATATGAATAATTGTCTGCAGATTGATATTTTTAATCATATAGCACGTGAATAATTGTTTACAGTTTGATCATTGATCACATATAAGAGCGAGGGGGTAAATTTGGTATTTAATAAATCGTCTAATTAATCTAAGCGTACCGTGAACTACTTGAATTTTAATCTGTGAGAGATCGCCATGTTGTATGTAATTATTAATCATATATCATGTGAATAATTGTCTCAGTTTGGTATTATTAATCATGTAGCACGTGAATAATTGTTTATAGTTTGATCATTGATCACATATAAGAGCGAGAGGGGTAAATTTAATATTTAATAAATCGTCTAATTTACCTAAGCTGCTCTTTCTTTCAGGTTTACATTTCAACATTTCAATTTAAACTATATCCTTATCTTCATACTATGTATATCCAATAAGAATTCATCAATTTATCAACTTACTCTTACTTAATGGATTAATATTTGAATTTTAAGGGTATTTTTGTGTACTAAAAGATTTTTCTGAACTCCTGCTTTTAAATGGAGTATGATATAAAGTCTCTTCATATCTTGTATGGATCCCTAAGTATCATCAATGGATAGAAAGTTTGGTGGATGGTCCACTTAAGTTGACATAATATATATATATATATGGGTAATATGTACCTAAGGAGGCTCCTTAGGGTACATCTAAGGATGCATCTCTCAATGTATGAATTGGGCTACTTTAATGGACGATCCGCTCCATTCATCATGATCTAAATGTCTTAAAATATCTACAAAATTAAAATCATGATATGTGAATATTTCTAACACATATTTTTCATTGTCTTTTTTGTTGTGTTGTTATAAACCGTTAATTTTACTATCACTTGATGCATTAGTAAAAACAATCAAATATACCTAATTTTTTGTTTACATGATATCCAAATCATATAGATCAAAATGAACGGAGTGGATCAAGTAAATTGATTGCGTATAATCTAATTTTCAAGGTGCATCCTTAGGGGCTGTTTGGTTGCACACTTTTTGAGAAAACTTTTTTCAAAACATCTGACAATGGTAAATTTGTAATTAAAAGTTTTTTCAGAAATTTCTGTAAATTGTGTTTGGTTCAACAAAAAATTTACAGAAATATTTTCTATAAAATATCAAAACCAAATTTTACAAAAAGCAATTTCCTCTCAAAATAAGAGGAAATCACCAGAAATCTGACACATACCATATTTAATTAAAAATCTACCAAATCTTGTTATTTTCTATAAAGTTATGAGCTATTTTCTTGTTTTGAACCAAACAAGCAAAGTTTCTATAAAGTTATGAGCTATTTTCTTGTTTTGAACCAAACAAGCAAAGTACAAAAAACAAAAAAATTAGTACTTTTTAATTTCTCAAAACTTTTCCTATAAATTTTTTAAGAAATACAAGGAAATCATATTTTAAGTGGAAAACATTTCCTATAATTTCTAGAAATTGAATATATATATATATATAGAGAGAGAGAGAGAGAGAGAGAGAGAGAGAAAGAAAGAGAGAGAAACTCCTATCAACTTAATTTGATGTCCACCAAACTTCATAGCCACTCATTTATTAATATAAAAAATATTTTCATATCATGCAATGATCCCTAGGCAATATGAGTGACTAAAAAGTTTGGTGGATAACTTTTTGCTATCCACTTAAGTTGACACAAGTTTTGCTCTATATATACATATATATATCATAGTATAATGAGAAGAAGGCATTATAGAAATTTTGAAATGCTTTGTCCTTCCTCAAGGTAAATTCGTCCCCAAGTCCTCCTTCAAAATAATCACAGTAAATTTTTGGAGAGCTTGTCTGGCACGCTTTTGAAATTCACTTACTTAACTGGATGAGTCTTCATGTTTCCTACACAACCTATTAATACGATTGTTGTATCCAAAGTTAGTTTGTTCGTGCATTCATCACTCTGAAACAACAGTTCATGCATTAATCATTCTGAAGCAACATAAGTTTTTCCTATCTAGATAGGAAATGGGACTATCTACAAAAAATAAGTATTTTGATGACTGAGATTGATGATCACATTAAGTTTTTACTAATTGATTGTTTCCACTACTTAAATCTTTAATTGTGTATATTATTTGATTGAAGGCATGATTTTTAATCTTCTTTTAGCCGGCTTGTGACATATCTCTATGTGGTTAACTTTTAGATAACGTGAAAGGAGTGATATGAAAAATATTAAAATCGACATAAAAATAATACTTGAGAAGAAGGGTTCTGCAGATTTATTATTACTTTTTGGTGAAAGATTTGAACTAAAATTCAATAAGATTAAGTGGCTATCCTTACAACTAAAAGAAAAAAAAGGAAGGGTTCGACAGGTGGTTTGAGGCTCTAAGATCCAAAAAAGTATCTGTATCTTATCTGAACTGTTTATAACTTGTAGTAGATTTTTTAAGCAGAATAAATTATAGTTCAATCCATTGTAAGAATAGGATTTTCTAACTAATGAAATTAAGATATCACCATGTTA